CATACCACTAGAGCTAATAAACACAATGGACATTAACCGTAGCTTTATAACGTAGCTTTTCTTGTATACCAGCTTAATGGACAATGGAAAATTAGCAGTTACAGGTATTTTTCTTTCCACCACAAAAGACAAACATAGCACTTATAAGATGTATTAACTACCCATGACACAAAATCCTCTCCTAAAAGAATGAGTTACACGTAACTGTCGACAAAATACAACGTGATCTGATTGGTCGTGAGTGTCGGAGGGTGGTGCATTTAAACATACATATAAGATTAAGTGGACAATCGCTGATCTAGCGGCTAATTGATCATTCGATGTCGTTTTAACTGTATAAAATGAGCTCTAAATTAATATTTTACCCTGATTTAAGTTTGTGAATTGTGACTCAAATTTTAATCTCTAACTGCATAATTTGTTAGGAGAAATTACTTAAAGTGGCGAAACTTGCAAATGCAATATTCGGGATACAATCAAGGACAAGATACATCAGAAGTATAGAAAAAAAAAATTTTTTCTTACTTTTAAATAAAAACTGAACAGATATGATGTACAATTTTTTAAAAAATTTGTTCATCGATGACTCTCAAACATTCCGCTGGTTTTTCACCAAAGAAGCTTACACACAGAAGCTTGAAAATAATTTTTGATATTGATTGAGTGTGAAAATATGTTACTTGAGTGCAAAATATTACCGTAACTGTTAAGTTGCCTCATCACAGATTTGTTTTTACTTGTAAAAATATAGAACAAGTAAATGTCTAGCTAATGAAGCTCTCGAGAGAGGGCGAATTGGAGGCAGCTGAGAGATTTGCAACTATATATATATATATACATGACATATTAGTGAGTATACCTATACACTGCGTAATTGCAGTGTGAAATTGTACAGTTGTAATGTCAGTTTTATGGGGAATTTATAAAATTCGTATATTATTACAGTGTAAGTATTATTTTGATCATTTTTAACGTCTATCTCTATTTTTTAAGCTTTTATTAAACAAAACAAAAATTAAATTGTTTCTGTGAGTGCTCATACTTCTCAGGCCAGTTTACATATACAAAATTATCTTTTCATAAGTTTTAAGTAGTGTACATATCTTACAACATTTATTGTGTGACAAACATGCGTAGGAGTATTTATAAGGTAGACAAATGGTCTGCAATAATTGATTAATTTTTTTTTTCTAGATGCTATCTGGTGGCAAGACCTACTCTTACTGAGTTCATGAGAGAGCAAATGTTGGCTGCTGGATGACTGTGTCCCAAGTTTTTATCGTGCTCTGCTTTTTTGCAAGCTATGATGTTTGGCATCTTAGTATTTTAATGTCATTACTTTGCTCTGCTTTCTTTGATTAATTATACTGAGTGACTTACATCTGCCGGTAGTACATTTTTTAACGGCATTCTTATTTTTTAAAATTCTTATATGTATGATTAACAAATGGTCTCTTTCTCTACTGAATATACATTGACATAACTTAATACTCTTCACAGATGGCAGGGCATTTGATGTCAAACTGTGTAGTCCAGTTTGTTCCTGTAATATGAAAGTCAAGAAATTTAACACTAGGTATATTATATGTCCATCTTCTATTCGTGCATGCTTTTTTTATACTTAACCGCAAGAAATAATATTTTAGAGAACTTTACTTTCTCCTGGATTTTCTCGCCATCGTTCAATGTACTGGGAATTAGTTTATGTACTGCTAAATGTAGAGTGTACTTGTCGTATATAACTAATTTACAACATTCAACTAGTTTGATATAGTAATTTTGAACTTTAATTGGTTTATTTCTTTGATGTTTATGGTTTTTTGGTCACATTAAGTCAACTTATCACGTCTATTGGGTACACCTACTAATTCTCATATAACTATTATTATCTATGCATGAAAGTACTCACCGATAAATATAACTGTCAACATATTGACGGTATAGTCATATCCATGTTATACCTTTTGTACCTGAACAAATTACCATAAACATACTTTTCTCTTGAATAATAAAGAAATCAGAGATCCGTTGGAGGCAAGGTGGCAAGACAATCATATACATAGTGTATATTAATTCTTTATTATTCATATCAAAAAAATCTGAAGGCACTGATTCCCATCTATATTAATTCATACTTCTCTCAGTTTTGTCAATACTATATTTTTAATTTTATTTTCAGTAAAGTGCATTAGTATGGAAAAATATGTTTTATAATCTGACTATATCTGTATTGTTTATATTTCAAGTAAAATCTTTTACATTATAGCTACATCCGTATTTTTACAAGTAATCAAAGTCACTTATATCTGTATTTTTAAATGTGTGAAAATAGTTAAATAAACTACCAATTAATTAGGTTACTTCTTACCTGTATAATTTGTTGCTTTTTATTTTTCAACATGCATTGTTGATATTATATAGCCATACACTTACATGAAGGCATCACAAATTATCATAGAAAAAGTATGTGCATTGAATATACGTTTATTTATTCAGTTTACTTATGTTCATTACAATAAACGCGTTACAGGCATTGTGTGGTAAATTTACATTGCCGTAATAATATACACACTTACGCGGATTTTAACACAAAACACAGTTGTACAGTTTAATTGACTTAATTCATTTACATTTTCACCGAACATTTGGTGTTGACCCTACGAATCTATGTATAACATTTTTATACTTATTTAAACATTCTTCTCTTGAATTAAATAATTGAATGAGATCTCTTACAACTTAACAATAATATACTCATTTTACACGTGCACTCCTACTAAACAAATATAACAGGTTTTTAAATTGCGACATTTTTTAAACGAAAATACCTATCGTCACTTCTTTTTTATGCGTGTAAATAGTTCAGGACATGTCATACGCTCAATTTATAATACTTCTATTATTTTAATATTTATTATGCAAGGATGAGTTCTTAATAAAAAAAATCAAAAAGGAAAAAAAAGAACAAAGTAAAGAGTACTTAATTACGACAATACAGTAGAAAAAGTAAAAAATAAAAAAAAAAATTCTTAGAGCTCGAAGACAACTCACATAATAATGAACTTATCCTACACGTGCACTCCTACTAAACTAATATAACAGGTTTTTAAATTCCGACATTTTTTATATGAAAATACCTATCGTCACTTTTTTTTATGCGTGTAAATAGTTCCCGACGTGCCATACGCGCAACTTATTGTGCTTCTATTATGTTTATCATTAATGCAATGATCAGTTTTTCATGAAAAAAAGGAAAAAAAAGCAAAAAAAAGGACAAAGTAAAAAGTACCTAATTACGACAATACAGTAGAAAAAGCAAAAAATGCAAAATTTAAAAAAATTCGTAGAGCTCAAAAACAATTCTTAACTAAGAACTAAAAAACATATTGTTTTCACCTAACTGGATAAAACTGCTTCCTTTGAATAAATTATGATTCTATTACTTTATAATTATGCAAGGATCAGTTTTTAATAACAAAAAAAAAAGAAAAAAAAAGGAAACTGTATAAACAGTGCTTAATTAAGACAATAAGACCGAAAGAGTAAAAAAGTCTAAAGAAAGTTCAAAGACCATTCCTAAGGAAGAATTTAGAAATAATTAGGAATCTGTTTAACGTTTGCAAATTGCACTGGTCACGTAACAATCATGCTTAGTTGTTGAGTCTGCGTCTTTTCGGTGTCCTGACCCCTTGCAGAAGTTGATCTATTGGCATCTTCTCTTTTGTCTCATCACTTATGACACATGTCAAATCTCTGGACATTATCACAATTGGACCACCTATAATTATTTTCAAGTTACACTTAATAATTTTTTTTAATCAAAGTGTTAATGACAATAAACTTAAGTACAAGGAAAATTGGAAAAAAAAAATTTTTTCTTACTTTTAAATAAAAACTGAACAGATATGATGTACAATTTTTTAAAAAATTTGTTCATCGATGACTCTCAAACATTCCNTCTATTGGCATCTTCTCTTTTGTCTCATCACTTATGACACATGTCAAATCTCTGGACATTATCACAATTGGACCACCTATAATTATTTTCAAGTTACACTTAATAATTTTTTTTAATCAAAGTGTTAATGACAATAAACTTAAGTACAAGGAAAATTGTAATTTAAAATAAAAGAAGTTTTATGATTTACCATTGGACTTGATTTTTCCAGTGACAGTTACGTACACTCCTTTATCAAGTGCTATCTCCGTATAATGAGAAATGTTGACCGTAACTTTGGGTGTGCCATCTGTAATAGCACCACAACCGTAGGTTGAGTTATCAAATCGGCTTGGCGATAGAGCAAATTTCGTTTTAATGTATCCCGTTATTCCTAGGAAAATAATATATTGAAAACTGGGACGTATAGTTTTTGCATCGACATAAATATCAAATTTGGAATAATTCTCACTTATAATCCCTTTGGAATCCCTCAACGTCTCGAAGTCGACTACCTGCGGTTCTTCTTGGATATTTTCAACAAGTTGATGGTATTCCAGAGATTTAACAACCGTGTTGGTTTAAATAATCATTTCATATGGTACAAGACTCGCAACTTCTTTGGAATAAGACATTTTCATTGATTTCACGTGTCCACCATCAATATGAAGGATCTGTAAAGTCAAAAAAAGGTTATTAATAAAATATTCTGCAAGAATTACAGCTGCACTACAAGACGTATCGTACCCTGTGGATCAAGATATCGTTCTTGTACTTGTTGATGAGCTCATTTCCCCATATAAGACATACTATCCTTTTACCAGAATCATTATTGATGATGAATTTCATCAACTTATATTTCTTGGCAATTCCGACCTCTTGAGCCCCATTTATTTCATCAATGTATCCTATAAGTTCCATGCGAATAATTTTTTTATTATAGTTACAAGTAGACATTAAACATTTTTATTTCAAATAATAATTATAAACATACGCTGTTTGGTCCTTATCGGTGAGTTCGTCAAACACGACGCTGGGAGAGTACGTAAGAGACATTGTACTGTTTTTATTATGATGAATGTATTTACGAACAATCAGGATGGTATTGACACCGTAGTACTGAAAACCAAAAAGTCGTGAGATATATTAATGAAAATAACAGAAATACAATGAATAAAGAAGTATGCATAATTCGCTTTACGTATAATTTTTTTCATTATCACAATTTGCAATCTTATTTAAATTTTACATATATATCGTTTTTACTTGACCTAAAAAAATAATAGCCCGTTATAAAAAGTACACGTTATCTACAACAGCAAGATCTCAATATATCTCAACGCATACTGATTAACGGCTTATCGTTTCAAAAATACAAAAAAACGATAAATAAATGTGTTTATTAGCACTTACGTGGTTCTTACTTCAAATCTCAACGTGAATTATTCTCTCTTTCTCTTATGAAAGGACATTCAGTGTACACAGTACACGTGCTTCTTGTGCAAGGTTTCAGATGACAGCTGTAGCTAAGCTTAAGAGTACATACACGAACACGGATGTACACACAAGATTTTTGTGATACATTGAGCACTTTCCAGGTATGAAGTAACTTTAATTTCTTAACCGCAGTCGTACGGGCCCTGGTCATACCATTTCGTTGGTTCTGTTATTTCACGTGCTCCATTCCATCCAATCAGGGTTGGGGGTTCTTTCCCTCGGTGGCCAATTTCAGGGGTAGTACACTTCAATTTCTTCTACAAAACGATCTCGACAAACTAATGAACGTCTTAAAAGCATCTTATGGCAACTTCAAGACAAAAATTTGTTTGTCCAGACCTTTAGTTGACGCTGAAAAAGTTACGTACTATCACCCCATCACCCCAGCATCATTGAAAATACAAAAATAGATATATCTGAAAGGATGTACATGAATTTCGATTACATAATTGTTTAATCACCGTTGATTTCTACCTAACAATTCAGGTTTTATTATTAACAAAAAAAGAAAATAACACGTTCAAAATTCACGGGGATTTTAACATTGACGTCCACGTGAATCAGAAAATAACATCTCACCTAAAAATACCATGATGTTTTCTACGTAAAATCCAAGTGGCTTCTACCCGGAATTTTCATGGATTTTACACTGATTTTACACTGATAATACCTTGATTATCAGCCTGAAATCCATCTCAATTCGCCACGTGGATTTTCGATGGATTTTATATGGAACCCAATTGGATTTAAAGAGGATATTTTCCGGATTTTTGCCTGAAAATTTCTATATACTTAAATAAACAATACAAGTTAGATATCCAAAAGTAATCGCCATATTTGGTGTTATCATCCGTATTAGTAATAAAAAACGTACCATTTCGAATATTTTATTTAAAAGTGTATTGATTAAAATATTTTATGTATAGAAATGTCACAAGAACTTTAATTATTAAAAAAAATATTCAAAACGTATATTTTTTGGTTACTCTACGGATGATACCACCAATTACGGCAATTACTTCTTGATATCTAACTTTACTTGTTTATTTAAGTATATAGAAATTTTCAGGCAAAATTCCAGAAAATATCTTCTTCAAATCCAATTGGATTTCATGTAAAATCCATCTACAATCCAGGTGGCGAATTGAGACGGATTTCAGAATGACAATCAGGGTATTATAAGTGTAAAACAGTGTAAAATCAATAAAAAATTCAGATAAAATCCACTTGGATTTCAAGTGAAAAATATCATGATATTTTTAGGTGAGATATAACAAATTAATGTGGATTTACACGAGGAAGTCTATCCGAATCTACATAGAGTTCATCTTAATATATGTAGATATATGTGTATATCCATCATCATGTTTGCAATGACGAATACTACGGGTGGTCGTAAACAATTTTGCTTTGTTCTTTTTTAAACATCAGTAGAAACTAATTAATGCTTTTAAAATCTCTAATAACATTATTAATATTTTGTTAGAGTAATTTTTTCTGCCGATGGCTTTGAGTAACACGGAAAAAATTCTTATCAGTCAAAGTTTACTTCATTATACCATAAAATAAAATTTTTAATTCCACATAAGGCTATTACACTTTTAACGTATTATCTCATAATCGTTTGCATTTGCGATCAAATCTCTGTAATTAATAAAAAACTACTATTTTCATGCGTTAGCCTGTACAATTTATTGTGGTTATCAGTTATCACCACTTTCAGGTCAACTTGGTTACTACTTAGTAGCGCTGATGTTGGGCGCAACCAGGTAAATAGACCAGGCAAGCAGATGGGGCTGCTAGGAATGCTGGGGTGGTAATATGTTACATAATTTTACCATCGCTATCCATTCACTTGGATCTGAACAGACACATACTCGTTTTAAAGACACAATAAGATTATTTTAGGATGTCAATTACATGGTCCAGATACCTTTGTAGAAGAAATCAAAGTTACATACTACCTCACCCTGAGTCAGATACCGATAGAGACATCGACACTTCCACACTTTAAGTGCAGACTGCTTAAAAAGCATACTTGGCAGAGTTTCTTTCTCAGTATGTGATTGAGAGGTCCTGGGCCCGAGGTGGTATACGTAACGTATGTTACTACCATCCCCGTCTGCTTATCTCGTACATTCACTATCGGCACGTCAGGTGCTGCTACCAAAATACCTGGCAAGCACATGTGAAATCCCTTAGGAGAAAAATAGTTTTGGTGGCCGCTACCGTAAAAAAAAGGATAATTCTGTAAGACTACGGCTGTATTATGTAAACGTTATCTGTAGTAAAATTGGTAGGTGGAGGCAACACCGCATGCTCAGGTGGCACTACTGTTGACCCTTACTAATTGCAGCTGTGTTCCGTATGTAAACAAATAAACTTCCAAAATTAAGTACAATTTTCAATAAGATACATATCACATCTGTGACAGATTTCTTTTTACTCCAGCAGCTCTTCCAGTAGATCAGAGGACGATCGATCTGCTTTGTATAACATGACATGAATGTTTTCACCCGTACTGGAATCTACGATTGTTGTTGTTTTTTTTATCTCACTCGACATAATCATAAGCACTTTTAAATGAAGTATTTCTCTATAGGCCCGATGCCGCGTACGCTTGAAGGTAATAATAATAATAACAATAATTTTGATAATAACATAATACGTAACTAATTCTACTCTAGTCAGCGTGCATTTAACTGTCACAGCAGAGTTAGTTTACATGCGTAATACAGCTACAATTTATAACTTAGTCAAGGTCTACAGTAGCGCCACCCAACTATGTGGCGTTGCTATGACCTACCAAACTTATTGCTGGCAGCGTTTGCGGAATACAGCCATGGTATTGTAACTCTCTAAGTTACGGAATACGGCCCCAGAACCATGCTTGTATACAACCTTTAAAAATAGGAAACCTTTATCAAGACTCCTGTCTCTATCTATGCAACATCCTGATTAAGTGTGTGCACACTGTGCAGGAGCTTAAGTACAACTTTTATGCTTTCATGGTTTTCCTCAAAAGTTTGTTATCTTTATACATTAAGCATAAGTGACTGGGTGTTGTATATCATTATATATTATATATAAATGTATGTGGATCAACGGATGTGTAACGATGCATTGACTACTATTTATGAATAACTGAATATTCTGCTTGCTACAATACTTTCTACCCAAGATATTGCTATTATATTATAAAATATAAGATATTTTTTGTGCTATAATCTCTGGAGCAAGTTTGGACTAATATCTATCAATTGAATTCTGCGTACTACAACTTTCTACCCAAAAGATTTGTTGTGCCGTAATCTCTGGAACAAGTTTTCATTTTTAGACTTAGTTAAGTTATAAACTACATTCTCTTGGTGAGTTATTAAAGTATACTTTTCAGTTATTTATCAATAAAATAAGTCATCCAAATATTCTGTATAAGTTACAATTGCAAAAAATGACTATATAAGGCTGTTTGGATCTTTTACTTTTTTTTATGGTTAAATTTTTAAAACTGTTATCATTTTAAATAATCACGATTACTTCATATTTATTCATGAGAGTGTTACAAAAGTATTCAGTCATTTTTGGATCTTCGACGTTCTAAAGTCAAAATTATTAGGGTAAAATGTGCAACTTCTTGATGTAAACCTTTTTTAAAATAGCGAAATACTATTTTCACACTTTTCAAAAGATAAAATTGACAATTTTCACATCTTACTATCTTTAAAGTAGTAGCTTATACCATGTCTAACATTCAAAAGTTTAAAATGAGATTTCGCTTTGTTTTAAGAGAGTAAGTGTAATGAATTACACTTTTCAAAAATGTGCTTTTAAATTTTACAAAATTTAAAAGTTTGAAATAAAATTACTCTTTGAAAGAGTTAAAATCAGGGAATTTACACTTTTTACAAGTACAAGTATAAATGTCCTTACAGCTGTAATAGCTTCTAAAATCAATAAGGATATAAAATTATTTACTTATTTATTAATACATATTATTGCTTATTTTTTAAAATTGTCTTACATTCAAATTTCCTACACTGGGATGGAGCATTAGTGTATGTATACTTTGACTGCTCTACTACTTAGTCATTAAAGTGCTTAATGCACTTTTGTACATACATTTTCATGCACCGGTGATGTGAGAGCAGCTTCTTATATTTGACATCATTAAAGATTAATAGTCCTATAAACTTTAACATGAGAAAATTCAAGTTAATGCTAGGAGTGATGACAGCAGTTATAGTCAGTAAGGATGTACTATTTTACACACAAGTTGACAAAGAGTTCTAAAGTGCTTGATCAATTTGTGGTAGCCAGACAAGAGTTAACAATGAGTCTTTAAAGCTGCCTATATATTTTTTTAGACCATCTATAACATCAAAAATCAGCGTATTGGCCAGTTTTGGCATCTGCATGTACACACTTATGTGGACCCTTGTATGGCCCAAAACAGGATGCAACAACCGATTCTTTAGCTTCATTGGTCAACAGGCAATGCTGTCATCACTCCTGGTAATAACTTAAATCTTGTCGTGTGAAAGTTTATATGACTCTTAGAGCAGGGACACGATTGAAACTGAATTGTAAGACCCGTCTTTAATAACGCCAAGTATAAGAAAGTG